TCCGAACGATCCTGTGCAAGGTACTTGGCACGTGCCACCAGTAATGGCACGTGCCACTTCACGATTCGGTAATGGCTCCTCGTCCTCCTCCTCGTACGTGAGGTTCCCACCAGAAATTTGGCACCTAACTTTGTGCCGATCAAAAGCCAAATCCGTGACAAATCTCTCAGCGTGTCGTTGATCCGTCTCATGCCATAATCCGTTATGGGTCCATTCCGCAATTCTGTTGGACATAGAAACAAACTCTAAATCATCAGGTCATGGCCCACGTCGTCCTCACTCTGTCACTTCGAACTTTGCCTCGGCTTCCTCCTCCAACCAATTCCGGTCCTCACAGATGCCCAAAAACGTAGAGTCATCTCCATGTATCGTTTCCATAATATTCTAGTCTTGCGTTTGCGAGAACGCATGGTGATGCAATGCCGCGTTTGAAACAGATACCTCGCACACAAGCCATGCAACAATATCCCGAATGGCTTGCTGTATCGCACGTGCCGCACATGGACTTGCGAAGCCTCCCACATGCCTGGCGCGGCGTCCTCCTCGGGCAACCTGATGGAGACATCCTTCTCGGTCTTGGCGTAGAAGTACGCGCGTTTGACGACGACGAAGGCAAGCTTTTGTGCCTCTAACGGGGGCGTCGCCGCGAAGAGGTCCTTCTCCTCTGAGTTGTATTTTAAGCTGCTGTGCCACGAGCCTGGATCGGGAATCTATGTTGTTCTCGTCGCCCTTGTTGATGTCGATCCACCTGCTGCCTATGGGCCCATTGCCAGTAACGTCCCAGCACGCCTCCTTCTTCACCATTCCGTCTTCCTCGCGCTTCCTGAACTGCCCCATCTCCCCAGCACGGGCCTGTTACGTGAGTAGAGACTGCAGTTCAAATCCAAATACGCCATCCCCGACGCACGCTGTACCAACCTCAGTTTTGCGATGTACGCAGATGCCAGGCCTATTAACGGGCCGCGCTGTTCCCAAATCGCCGCACGCCCTACAAGTTCTAGGTATCTTCAACCACCCCTGGTGTTGCCAACTACTGCACTCCCGCTGGTGTGGTTCAACGTCGTGCGCGACGCTGTAGGTGAACGTAGTGATGGTTGTCCTCGCTCCGCCTTTGAATTATCTCCTCCTTTCTCGCCCCGTTATCCCTTGTGCGGCAAGTAGCATGAGCCTGGTGGTGCCGTTATCCTCCCGGCTCCACGTAATGACCTGCTCGTCGTCGCTGTTGATAAACTCCACGGTTACCTCGTTGATGGTCAGGTCCTCCTCGCCAAGCTTCTGTGTTTCAACCTGGTCCCACGATTTGAAAGAGCTGCCCATGCGGCCGTCGAACCTCATCTGGTTAACAGAACCAGTGAGCATGGCTCTACAAAGTGCGTCCAAATAGACTTCTGACTGTCTCGTCCTACTTCCCCGGTTAACTGGATATGACGATGATGACCTCGGCACTTTGAACCCAATGCTTCACCCATGCAGCGGCTGTTGGTCATGGCCCTGGTAATCTATTTCAAATGGCATTCCCCCCCTTGTCACGACTTGTTGTGAGTCATAACCGCATATGTCGCCCTCGTACGTCTTCACTCCGTCATGCGCTGCATGGCGCTGGGGTTCCGACTCGAGGTCCCTGCTGGATGCTCGGGCAAGAATTAAAGCCCACTGTTGCGTTGTAGTTCAGGGAGGTCCAGTGGCCAAAGCAAAAGGTGCATGCTTGATGCCGTAGTCAATCATGTCCTTTACTTTCTCAGGGCCCAGCCTTTTGGCGCTAAAAGCTTGCAATCGGCCAAAAGCAGCGCACATCGGACTCACCACTAGCAACAGCGCAGACTTGCTCTTGACGGACTTCTTGGCTTCGTACGCATGGACTCGCAGTGAAAGTCCCATGATTTGCCGTCCCCGTTGCAAATTGTTAAATCCATGGCCAATCCAAGAATCAAGTCCATGCTGTCCGCCATGCCGGCAACTCGAACAGGATATCGCGCGTCGAGGACGTGTGATTGATCGCGTTGCTGGGTTTTTCCCGGAAAGGGCGTGGGCCCAGGGTTCTCTTTTAGATGGTTTACCCACGATTTTGACTTGAAGGGGGCCGGCGGAATTCTTTTCGACAAAAAACAAAATAACATCACATTCGGCTTGAAAAAAACATGTTTTTCGCGCGTGCCCGCTCGAGGAAAGACGCCCCTCCCCCATCTCGGATGCTCGATGCATAACGGGGTCCGCGGACCACCGTTTTCCTTTTGAAAAAGATGGGCGCGGGGCACTTTTAGCATAATCTTTGAAAACAACATAATCTGGAGCCCCGACCGCGACTCCGAAAAGTGCCCCGCGCGCAAGAATTCCGAGGATGTCTCGCGCGCGCCGCGTCCCGCGCGCAGGAATTTCGAGGATGTTTTCACTAATTCGCATGTTTCTCCACGATTTCCTTGGATGTTGAGTCTTTCCTCTGAGAATCGCGGTAAGATGACAAAGGAATTAAGGTATCGTGCTCACTCTGCTCAGTAGTAGA